TGAGTTAACTTCCCAGCTCATCCTACAGGAAAATAGTGCCCTGATTCTAAAACCATACAAAGCTACTACAAGGAAAAAAAATAGTGTTTTTCATGAGCAGAGATGAAAAAGACCTAAATAGGAATTTATTCATCAAATCCAAAAATATGTTAAATGATAGTTTGACATGACTTAGTGGGATTTACCACATCAATGTAAAGTTAATGTTTTGAAAACAATTCCTCATATTAAAAAACATAAAAAGATAATCTCAATAGACCCATGAAAAGTTTTCAATTCAACATCCATTTATAATAAAAACATTTTGAAAAGTGGGATACAATGAACTTTATCATACTGATGAAGGACAGCTAATATAGCTAATTATAAGATAATGAATACTCTCCCATATCAGCAACAACGTAAGAATATCTGCTTTTACAGCTTCTATTCCACTTTGGTTCTAGCCATTGTAGCAAGGCAAAAAACAAGTAAATAAAGGAGTGAAGGAAAGGAAGGAAGGCAGCCTGGTTGGTAAGACAAGAGTGTCTACTTACAGACCATATGAAGGTCTGTTTTAGACACCCAGTGGAATCTACAAAATAGGTTTTGAATTTAATAAGTCAGGTTGGCAATGTTAACAGAATACATATTTATAAATACAGTTGTATGTCTAAGTATTAGTAATAATTAGAAGTCCTAGAGCTATTAGCAGTGAACAATTAAAAATTTGAATTTTTTGAGATGTTTGAGAACGTGAAAAATATTAATTACTGAGGGGTATATTTAACCAAAGATAAGTAAAACCACAAAAGTTTTCTGAGAGGATTTCAAGAGGACCTGTATAAGTGGGTGGATATTTGTTATTCTGAAAATTATTAAGTATGCCTGTGTCTTGCCCTCCCTCACCCCACCATGTAGTATAATCCTAATGAAGATTCCTGTAGGCTTTTTCTAGAAATTTATAAACTGTTTATAAAATCCATGTCAAAATGCAGAGAATAGCCACAACTACACTGAAAAAGAACCAAGTTAATAGACTATCACTTTCTCATTTCAAAACTCATGATAGTGCCATAATATCAATATGTGGTATTGATATCAGATAGACAATTGAGTCCAGAAAGAGACTGACATGTATGGAAAACTGATTTTTTGATAGAGCTGGAAAAGGCAACTCAGTAAAGTCTTTTCAAACTTTGTATATTCTTACCAACTTTGATAACATACCTCACACCCTGTAACTCTAAAACTGAAATATTAAACTCTTAAGAATTATAAAAAAAAAAAAAATGTTGGCTTAGGAAAACATTTCTTAGATTTTAAAACCAAAAGCACAATCAATAAAAAGAAGCCTGATAAATCGTATTTCATCGAAGTTTAAAATATCTACTCTTAAAAAGAGCGTATTGTTAAAAGAATGAAATTAATCAGCCCTATTCTACAAATACATATAGGCAAAGCATATATCAGATAGAGTACATGGATTCAGAATTCATTGAAAGTCTTCAGTCACACGAAAACCATTCAATAAATGGAGAAAAATAACTGCATAGCCACTTCATCAAAGAATCTATACAATTGCAAATAGGCACATGAAAAGGGGCTTCACTTCTGTAGTCATTATGGGGAAGTTACCACCACAATGAAATGCCACTAGGTATCAACTCAAACGGGCTTAACTGTTTATTAAAATAACAGTGTGTGGCTAAGATGTAGAGTTGCTAGACAATACAGTAAGTAAAATACTTACAAACACTGATAGACATCTATAAACACTTGGGGCTCTGAGATTAAGAGGGAGGAGAATGGACAAGGAACCTGAGGTGGGGTAAAAGTAGATGTACAGTGTTGTACCCCACCCATGAGACGCACCACCGAGAAAAAGATCAGGCCACCGCTTCAACAGCAAAAGCAACTTTAATACATATCAAGCCTGGACCCGACCACAACCAGCAACATCTAATTATCAGGAAGGGTCCGAAGGAAGGGGAGCACAGCTTATATAGCCTTTTTGGCGCACAGGCCGGGGCAGTTTCTGATTGGTTGACCTTGGCAGTTCCTGATTGGCTGGCCTTTACATGCTTACTATGTATGGTATGGCTGGCTGTTGGCCATTGTGTTGCTCCCCTGAAATGGCCAGATCACGTCCCTCCCACACGTCAATCAAGAGGAATGCCTGCCCCTCCTTGAAAACTTGTATCCACATAATATATTCATAGCACTTTTGTCTTAATTGTTTAAAACCGGAAACAACCAGTATTCATCACAGAAGAATGAAAAATTGCAAGGTATCTGTAAAACGAATTACTCAGCAATACCAAGAATATTGATACATGCAACCGCACAGATGAAATTCAAAATTATGCTAACTGAAAAAAAAAATTGAGATACAAAATATATCATGCCATTTATATAAAATTCTCCTAGACGAATTATAGTGATAGATAATATCAGTGGTTTTCCAAGGATGGGAGGAGGGGAGGAGTAAAAGGAGATGAGGAAAGGGGAGTGACAGATATGTTCATTATCTTGATGTGGTACTTCCATGAGTATATACACATATCAAAAGATACATATTTTAAATTTTAAATATGTGCAGTTCATCCTGTTGAATAAAATCAGTAATAGTAAGTACAGTTTTTAAATATTTCCCCCTATCTATTCCAACCCCCATAATTAATTCTTTGGGTATAACCTAATTCTTTGTTACTCTTTAAAGCAAACTTTCTAGATACACTGTCCACCCATGCTGTTCCATTTCCTTGTTATTCATTCATTCTACCACCACACCCTAGAAACTGCCCTCATCAAAGTCAACAATGCTGTTTGGTTCTTAGACAATAATCCTTTATTCTACAGGTTTTCAAAGGTCAGGAAACATTGGGTAAACTATTAACAGCATGCTAGTGACATTTTCAAATAATAGACTGAATGTACTTCAACCTATAAATGCACTGTTTTCCTGTTTGTTAACTTCTTGGACCTTTTGTAGTAAATTTATCATGCTTTTATTTTTTCAAATTAACAAGTAAAACATTGTTTTGAAAACAGAAGGACATAATAGTGGTCGAGCATTTGAAGAAAACTCTCTGGAGCTCTTAGTGGTGTTTGCTGCTTCTGAAAAACAGCAACCATGCTCCTGATTTATTTCCTGCTTCTGGCGCCTCTTCTATCCCCAAGCCTCCACTCTGGCCCTGAAGTTAGTTATATTTACTCTCTTCTCTCCCAAATCTACTCATTCTCCTTAACAGACATTATCACAATCCATACTCCAACAACTCCAACGACCTAAAATTCTATCTCTATCCTAGACTTGTTCTGTGCTTCCAACCTGTGTCTTTATTCCACAGGCTCAAACTCAGTAGGTCCAGAACTGAGTCATCTCCCCAACTGCCTTCCAGGCCCCTCTCCCCATCCTGAGCTGCATTTCAGTTGCATGTGGAGATGACTAACATCCAGGAAAAGCTAGTGGAGCTGGGGGTTGGTGTGCCTGTCAAGACAAAAGGCAGGTTGTGTTGAACAGCTAGGTGGTCTAGTGCTGTGCTTTCTATTCAGATGGGTTCAAAAGGGTTACTACTTCCTGTACTTACTTCTGAGCAATCTAGGATAGTGGCACTCATACATCACTCATCAGGTAAAGTTTTGTGTGTTTTCTTTAAAGTAAAGTTTTAATGAGATAACATGAGCAGTGCCTGCAGTGGGACCTGGTATATAGTAAGCAAACAGGAAATAGTCTAAGGGCTAGTTGTTAGTGCTCAAAGAAATCTGTTTGTGAACCTGAATATTTGCTTTGATAACAAAATGAAAAAGTATGATACAAGGCGCCCAAGTTGCAAGTTGGCTTGATTAAAATGTGTTGAACTCAGTGAAAATAAGGTGAGAATTCCAGTGTTCTTTTTGCACACTTTTACATGAAGCATTGCTATTCTTACAAATGCTGTTTAATCTTCCCTTGTGTTGAAATATTTCCCTCAAAATTGTACAAATCAAATTTTCTGCAGTTCTGCTGTCTCAGGAGAGTGAAAGAACGAACTACAATTGGAATGGATAAGAGGAGAGGTGTTGAAAACGCAAAGTTTGAACTTTCTTAAAACCTTGTGTGTTTGCTTTTTTTATTCATGTAGTAGTGATAGTAATAGTAATAATAATAATGGGCCCGCAGCAAATTCATAGCCCAGGAATGATGTGAAACCATCCTGGTTTGTGTCTAAAGTTGCTCCCACTTCAGCTGTTAGGACTTGGAGTCTGATTGGATTGGCCTCCCAGGACTCAGAGCAACACAGCCTTCCCAAGAGATGGTGTGAATGCTTCTTCATGAAGGAGTAGTACCTTTCCAGAAGGAAAGGGCATTCCATCCATAGAAATGCCACAGGCAGAGACTGACTCAGAGGAAGGAAAGACCAGGGGCACATCAGAAAGACTCTGGATGCCACAGCAATTGGCAGCTCTGGGAGAAGAGCAGGGACCTGCAGACATAGCATAAGCCTCCTTAGTTGCTCCTTCTCTATGCTCTCTTCTGAATGCAGAAGCCAGGCATTGAAAGTGCTGAAGCAAATTTGTGTTCCAGGGTTCTCTCCTTAGTACTATAAATAGGATAGGTATCAGTTTAAAAACTTGTTATTGGAAGAGTTGCATTGTCAGGAGATAGATATGTACATAGTTTTTGTTTTTGTTTTAAAAATTTATTCATTTATTCATATAGAACTGGGGTGCAGGCCAGAGATGCGGAAGGTGAGAAGATTCACCAGGAACAGAGTGGGGAGCAGAACAGGCAGATGGACGAAGTACACTGCTGAGGGGAGCAGCGGGCGGGTCAAGAGAGGTCTGCCACACCATGTGGATCTCCTCTGGGCCAGGCGGGGATAGAACTCATGCGAATTGGCTTAAGCTTCCTAGTGCTGTGCTTTAACCTGCTGTGCCACCAGGGAGGGCCAATATGTACATAGTTTATAGCCCTGAGTACCCTAGTTCCTGATTGACCACAGACCCCAAGTAACAAGACTCTTGTCTTCATGCAGGTCCCCTTGCTTGTGTGAATCATCGGTAAGATCAGAAGGCAGAAGCCCGCCTGTAAGATGCCCACAATCACTACTCAAAGATGCCACACACCAGCGTCTGGAATTTGATGTGCTCCCTTGTCTACAGGCCAATACTCAAGGCATTGACTGTCAGTCTTATGTAACCTTCCAAAGCAGGGAGTCTGTGCTGCTCTGCTGTGTGGCTTGTGTGCCAAGGAAATGTATTTGCCTCTGAATATTTAAAATTGCCAATACACAAGTATTGTTGGCAGGTTAATGGGAATATAAATGTTGGTGCCCAACACTACCACTTAATTATGCTAATTGGCAAAGTATACAGTCATGCCTTTGATGGATTTGGAACCTGATAGCTTTTGTCACATACTGTTGACTAAAAACATGTAGTTGTATAAGATCTTTTGAATCCACCCATATGTGTGTGTGTCTGTCTGTATGTATGTATATACATGTCTGTGTGTATGTCTGTACACACCCAGGGGTGAGAAATCTCAGTGGAAGCAATCTGAATGTAATATGCTACATGCTGTATATGTTTTAGTAGTAAGAAAAAAGAGTTCAGAGACTTTTTCAAAGGTGATTTGTTGAGTAATGAAATTATTGGAATTTTTTTTCCTGAAAACTTTGGGATTAAATCTTCATGGAAGTTTTAGAAAATCAACTATGATCACCCAGAATCATACATGATGTACTGACAAGGGATTTCTGAATTCTCTAAAGGCAGGGTGGCTAAAATCTGAATGACTTTAGAGTGGACACTGGTACTCCACTTGGACAGCTGTCCCCTTGGGCTGTGAAGTAGAACAGGCCTCCTGGAGCGGGGCAGTATGCAGAGCCCATAACCTCCCTGGGAGCCTCAGCAATGGTGAAAGAGGTCAAGGGGGTGGGGGAGGGGGGTTGAGTGTCTTTGTATCACCAAAATCAAATCAATATTGTGCTAATACTTCGTGATTTGGTTTTGGTCTTGATGTTTTTGCCCTACAGATCAGTGGCTTCCCTATTATCATTCGGCAGGCTTCTCAGAGCACCTGGGATTCAGCCCCCAGTATTTATAATGAAGTTTAACTACTAAGCAGTAGTTTTTCACATCTATCTCTCAAACATTTTGTTATACTGAAAAAGTTCTTTCAGAGATTAATAGAAATCAAGAAGAGTTTGTGAAATAAAGTCTCAATCTTAATGAAATAATAAAAATTGGTAGATCGGTTTAATGTTTTACAACTAGTTCAGATACAGGTTTGAAGTAGAATGGAATCTTGACTCTGAATCATGCAATTAACTTCACTTTCCTTGGTGTGGCGGCAGCATCCAGCCAATCGCTCTGATCCTCACTTTCCCTACTGTTTGTCTTTAGTGCCACAAATAAAGGAAAATGGTAGCCATTGTGTGAGTTTCTTGTTTGGATACCTTATTCCCAACTAAGCTCTATTTATGACTGCCAGCTACTCTCTGGGCATAGTCACTGCACATAATACAGACAAGAATAGCAGCCCACTTGGAGTTTATTACAGAGGGGACAGACCACAAACAAAATATTAAGTATATGTAGGTGCCGATAAATGCTATTGAGGAAACAATCAGGAAGAGTGATAAAGTGATATTTGAGGTAAACCTCAAGGAAATAAAAGAACAAGCCACAGGTGAACATATAATTAGCAGAGAAAATGCAAGTGCAAATACGTACCATTCCTGATGTCTGTCTTCCTTCCACCCCAGTCTTCATATTAACCTGGTACCCCATTTCCCAAAGAATGTCTGCTCCCAATCAGACCAAGAGCATAACATGTAAGGGGCTTAGAAGCCCCATAAACTTGAAGCTCCATAAACTTGATGAGGAATGTCCTATTGAGGTCACCACTGCTCATAGGGGAAGGATTAATTTTATAGTAAATTTATTTGTTGTTGAAATTATGTGTTCTGTGTCCCAGGTCCTACTGGGACCTGAGCTTAGAATAGAGACTAATATAGCCTGTGGATCCTGTCTCCATCTTTCTGCAGTGTTTTCACAGTTGTTCTTGGTGTATCTCATTAAACCTGAATGGTGATGAGGTACCATTTTCCAGAAAAAGACACTGAAGTCCAAGAAGATTAAGCAATTTGATCATGTTATCCTCATTCTTGAAACAGTCCATTTCCTTGTCCTGCAGAATCAAGTCTAAACCCCTTCGTCCATGAGATTCATAGTGACCTCACTTCTTTTACTAATTTCCTATGTCTATATGGACACACCATGTTTTTGAAAGCATTCCCTTTGTGCCTGGAGCATTTCCCCTGCCAGCATTGCATAGTACCCCCCACTTCCTGAAGCTCCATCATAGGAAATCCAGCCCTTTTCTTAAAGAGTCAGTTCTTGTGTGTGTATTTTCTGTAATCAAGGGCAAGCCTTCCTCCATGCTCCCTGCAAGTTCATTTTTGACAATCATTTCTAGTCCGCTCTTCAACTTGTCCTTGTAACTGTGTCTCCAACCACAGAAGGATCATTAGGGAAGGAGGCATGTCTGAATAAATTCCAGGGTCCCAGAGGAAGTTTCTTCCTTTTCCCAGAGAAAGTCTGGGCTCAAACCTACTATTCCAGTATAATTATTAAGAGAATCTCCTTGACTTCCAAAATGCCTGAATTTAGGCATAAAAATTTGGTCCAGATGAGATATTCAATATTCAATGACAGAATAAGCTTTGTGTGTAGCTACTTTGGAGCACAAGATTCCTATTCCATCTGAATGCTTCTGTATTGTAGTTTATACCCAGAAATGAGACAGATTCTATTTCTAGGCCATATATCAAAATATGGACAGAGTGAAAACTGGAGAACCTTCCTAAGTGGGTCTGTAATCTGAAATCTGTTTATTTCATCAAAACAGAAAGTTGCTTATGCATGGTGTTCAACAAAGTGTGGAAATGTTTTATGTCTGCCTAACAATTTCACATGCCTTTTCAATGATTGTGTCCCTAAGGTACTGTCCTGTCACCTCCATGCTGACAGGAACCTTTTCTATGTCCTTGGTAGTCTTTCACCTAAGCTGCTTGATCTGAAATTTTAGCTGTCCACATAGCTTCTCATTTGGCTGTCCTGCCATTTACCACTTCTGTCTGCATCCCACTCCTACCTTGTTATGATCCCCACCCACCTGCCCACCTTGGAGTGGCCCACCCTTTGGTATTCTAGTCACATACAAGTGAACAGCCACTCATCTCTAAACTTCCTATCATTTCCCACAGCTATCTAGTGTTAAAGCCTATGGCTTTTAATTCCACAGCAATTCTTAGCACCTTTTATTTAAACCAGTTTCTTAGCAGCTTAGTCCCTTACATTTCATCTCTGGCTGCTATCACAGCTGGGTGCTTAAACGGCACACATTTACTTCTCACGGTTCCAGAGCATGGGACTCCAGGATCAAGGTACTGCCAAATCCAGTGTCTGTTGGGAGACTTTGCTGTTTGCAGATAGCTGTTCGATCTCACTGTGCTCACACTGTAGAGAAAGATGGCTTCTCTTTTCTGCTAAGGTGTTAATCCCATCATGATATCCACTCTTGTTACCTAACAACCTAATTACCTAACACCTAACCACCTTGAAAGGCCCATCTCATGGAAATTTAGAGGGAGGGGGAGGAGGATATAATATCTCTTAACCTCTTCCTTTCACTGACCCCAGAGGAAACTTGAAATAGTACCACTCACAGAAAGTAAACTCCAGGATGGAGTTTGCCAAGTGACGAGCTGCCTACCAGGACAGCTTTGAATTTGAAATTCATGACTCAGATTTCTGTGTCAGATTTCTCAGTTCGTTTGGAACTTATGAAAGATGAAAAATGTCCAAATTTACAGCACCTCCTGTTCTTAGGCAGTGGAGGGCACGGACAAGGAAGAACAGAAAGAGGAGATTTGGGATGGAGAAACACCTGAAAAAATCCCCAAACTGTGAACATGTGGCAGGGTTCATGGGCATTCTCATGGGGAGGCCCCTGAGATTCCATACTGGGTTTTTCTGCCATGGAGCCATTTCCAACCTTCTGGATTTCCAATTCCCTGAGTTTCTTTTACTGAAAATGCAGATGTGTCCAATGCTGAAAGATCAAAAAAAAACTTTAAATGGAACTTGCTCAAAAGCATTTTGATAAAATTTCTAGTTGGGCCCAACTCAGGTAAGATCAGGTAGTTATTACTCTCCAGAGTTGACCTGAGTCACTCTCCTCAGAGGGAAGAAAATTCTTTGGCGATTGCTGGGTTCTCTAATCCTAGGCCCTTTAGTGCATACTGTGTGATGGCACATGACTTAGTAGACCCACCCAGAAAGCAAACCCACAACTACAGTTGGTGCCCCTTCTAGTTGTTGCCTCTGATCAAGACTTCTCAAAACACACCTGATGTGACTGCTGCTACCACTAAGCTTTGTCATCCATCCTTCCCCACACCCCCCAAACACTGAACTGCTTATACTTCCCAGACATACATTAATTCACTCTTCCAAGTTCAGCACTAGAACTCCTATTCATCCTTCAAAGCCTTGAAGGATGATTTCCCTCCCTGGGGAAAACTTCTATAAACACCCTCTGCCCATCAGAGAGAGAAACAGCCTCCTTGATCTCATACCAGTAACTCTTGTTGCCATGGTCTCTGTATATTGGAATCCATGAACCTATGTGGTGGGAGGACAGAGGATCATATCATGCTAAGTTGTCTTACTATAGGTCTAGGGACTGATACAAGTACCATAATCATTTGTTGAGTTGAATTAATCAGTTTCTACATAGCCAATAGCAAGTTCTATTGAGTCAAACTCAGGACCTGGTAGAAATTGAACTTAGAGGAGAGTGACTTAGTGACACAGACCTAGGGAAAGGACAGGCAACAATGACAGACCGCTCTCAGAGCTCAGCAAAAGACCCACATGCCATGAAATCAATATCCACCAGTCCAGAATGCTGTGAGGGCTACCAACAGGCATTACAAAATGTAAACCTAGCCAAATTTCCTGGCTCTTGTTCTGGGTCACAGCCTCCAGGTAGAACCTGAGGTTCAGGTAGGACTCTGGGCCCAGGTTGAATCTTGGAGTTAAAGTGGGGTCTGAGATGAGGCCCTTGGCTCCCGGTATAGCCCTTGAACACTCCTGAGGACTTGGGTGAGTCCAGGTAGGGCCTTGGGATCTGGAGGGTAGGTGTCTGGAGGTAGGCCCTGAGGGTTGAAATAGGGACCAATGTTGCTCTTCGACTGGGTTCTTGTGTTCTAGTGATTCAGGAATAATCACTGTCAGATCATACTGAAGGTTAACAAACTCAGGTTTATTGCAAGAGAGACTCCCAACAGCAGGAAGGGGTCCAAGGGAGGAGCCATTACTTTTGGGGCTAGGTTTATCTTTATTTATGGGGACTTGCCCTGACACAAGCTATGCAATCTCTGTTGACTGACATATTCCAGATAGAGACAGAAGTGCTCTGAAAAATCAGAATTTCCACACTAACTTATGTTATGACTTCCCTTTTTTGTAATATCAAAATATTCTAAGCAACCATCAGCTTACAACCAGATTACCTTAGCCTCATAAGGCGCTGCCTGGCTCAGGTGAGCAAGCACTATCCAAGACAGGAAATTCCTCTAGAAAGCAAAAAATAATATTACAACTGTCTGATTAATAAAAACAATTATAGGCCCTCCCTGGTGTCGCAGCGGGTCAAAGCACTAAGAAGCTTAAGCCACTTCCGCATGAGTTCGATTCCCGCCTGCCGTGGAGGAGATCCACATGGCGCGGCAGACCTCTCCTGATCCGCCCGCTGCTCCCCTCAGCAGTGTACTTCGTCGATCTGC